GCTGTTTTCTTAACTGAAGCCATTCATGGAGAGAATATGGTTCTGACTGTTATTACACAAGTCCTTTTGATCTGACCTGGGTATGCTTTCTTGTGCATGAAACGGTTCAGTGGAGCAGGTCCTTTTTCTCTAGCATGTTTCTTAGCATCATGGGCCCTTCAGGGTGAGTTGGGGAGGAAGCTCTATTTTAAACTGCTTTGTAGAAGGGCATTTGTCTCAAAGAAAAGAAATACTGCCTTTTTGTCAGTATTTCTTGAGCATCTATCACGTGTCAGGCACAGCTCTGGACCTGGCCGTGAGCACAGCGAGGGTCCAGCCCTTAGGAAGCGGACAGGAGAGAGAATGCAATGAACAGGTATTGAATGAGGAAAATACGGTGTGTTCCCTGGAGATACGTGCTCTGGGGGGAAGGCTGCGCTGAGGGTGGCATTCCTGCGCAGACCCAGCCTGCAGGGCCTTGGGCCGCGGCTCAGCTAAGAACCACCACCACCGTTTGGATGAGCTTTGCCTGCGGCCCTGTCCCCCGCCCCCCTTCGCTCCCTCAGCCTGTGTCGCTGTGAAGAGGTGCAGAGCTGGCTCGGAGGGGGACCCGCCTGGACCAACGTTCACAATTCTAAATTCCGTGTTTCTAACCCAGGAATCTAAGACCCTGACTTTATTTTTTTGGTTAATCCTCACCCGAGAATATTTTTCCATTGATTTTTAGAGAGAATGGAAGGGAGGGGGAGAGACACAGAGAGAGAGAAACATCGATGTGAGAGAGACACATCGATTGGTTGCCTCCTGCATGCGCCCCGACCAGGGCCAGGAATCCAGCCTGCAACCGGGGTAAGTGCCCTTGACTGGAATCGAACCCGGGACCCTTCAGTCGGAGGACGGACGCTCTATCCAGTGAGCCAAACCGGGTAGGGCCCTCCTGACTTTTGAACAATCTTTGCTCCCTCCCCGCTGACCACCACCCCCATTTCGGTCCCTCTCTTACCAGACTCTGGCGGGAGGTCCTCACCAGCTCCCAAGGGCAGAGAAAGGCTTTATAGCTCCTGGGATCCACCTCCCTTCCACCCGGCTGCCTAGGCCAAAGTCCAGGCCAACAGAGCCACCGAGGGGGTGGGGTCGGGCCACAAGGGCAGTCACATCCCCTGAGGTCAAGCCCCCCATCTGAAAATTCTACCCCTGAGAGTGGCAGGCCGCGTGGGGGCTGTGGAGGGGTTGGGGGCTTTGGGCGCCCCCCCAGGAGTGGGATCTGGGGTCTTCATCGCGTGGGACGTGGAGGCCGAGCTCTGAATGAGGGGTGTCTGTGGGGACCTGCGAACCCACCTCCTCTCCAGCTTCCACCCTCCACCCCAAACGGAGGAGCCGGAAGTCTCCACCCCACACCAGCCCGAAGCGGGTCTGAGGACTGAGGGTGGGCACCCCCCTGACTCCCTCCCCTAGGCCTCCCCCCCCACCCCGCCCCGCGCACACACTGACTACCCCTCCCTTTTGGGGGGTCACTTCCTCATTAACTGGAGGGGGGTGCTTGGAGTGGGCTCATCTCTGGCCTCATGGAGAACAGACTGGGACAGGGACACAGACAAGAATGTCTTTATTGTGGAGGCTGTGAACACTTTAATCCCGGTCCCTCTCCCCACAGAGAAGTTGGGGGCACAGGTTGTGGGCCTTGTTCAGGAGGTTGTCCTTGGAGCTTCGGAGCCAGGCCTGGGCGCGGGGACCCAGGTCCTTTAGGTGGTCCTCATAGTAGGTCTGCACAAAGCCCTGGACGGCTGGGGGGACCCTGTGGGAGAGGGGGTATCACAGTTGAGACCCCAGCTACCCCAACACGTTGCGTCATTCACCCCCTCCTCCCTCAGACCCAGGGGTCCAGGCCCCCAGCCCTCCTCCCTCAGACCCAGGGGTCCAGGCCCCCAGCCCCTCCTCCCTCAGACCCAGGAGTCCAAGCCCCCAGCCCCTCCTCCCTCAGACCCAGGAGTCCAGGCCCCCAGCCCCTCCTCCCTCAAACCCAGGAGTCCAGGCCCCCAACCCCTCCTCCCTCAGGCCCAGGGGTCCAGGCCCCCAGCCCTCCTCCCTCACACCCAGGAGTCCAGGCCCCCAGCCCCTCCTCCCTCACACCCAGGGGTCCAGGCCCCCAGCCCCTCCTCCCTCAAACCCAGGGGTCCAGGCCCACAGCCCCTCCTCCTTCAAACACAGGGGATCACGGACCCCCAGACCTCTACTTCCTCAAACCCAGGGATACACGGGCACGCAGCTCCTCCTACATA